TTTTTTTTTTTTTTTTTTTTTTTTTTTTTTTTCTTTTTTTCCGGCGTTCGTCTCGTCTGCACGTGTTTCACGAGCGAATCGCGTGTGTTACCTTCGATCCGATCTCGTAAATTTCCGAGATGCACGAATCGAATGCAAAGGTATCGCTCGATCATATTCGCTCGAATATTTCGAGGAAGGATGCGCGCTTTTTTTTTTTTTTTTTTTTTTTTTTTTTCTCCAAAACCTCGTCCAAAATACCTCTGCTGCTGCGGTTTAGTCTGCCGATTTTTAATCGCTACGCGAGACTCATCCGTCCGCGATGATTCGTGTGTACTTTCCATTTCATGTATAGCGCAAGATCAAAAGAGGAGTTTCTATTTTCGTTTACTATTCTTCGTTACTTTCCTATATATATGTATATATATGTTTCAATGGGGATGCGTAACCACCGATGTGATAAAACTGACCTACTATATTTTATATATAGTATATATATATATGTCTCCCTCTTCGCTTATTCTATACTAACTTATTCGAAGATATTAACGAGATTAAAGAATAAGCGTATCGTTCGTCCGTGAAAAGACCAAGATTTTCTCCTTTCATCTCGATCGTCGAGATCGAGAGGGTATTGAAATTGTCGGACGAACGATACGCGTCTGTCGATCGTGTGTAATATACTATACTCAATATTCCCGACACTTGTATACGCGTAACGTCGGGTATACACATTTCGAATATTTTGTTGGCTATTGATTACTCGTGAGAGGTTTCTTAAATGCTTGCGGTGCTTCGGTCGCCTAATGCTCTCGTTAAGAGGGGGTGGAGTGGACTTAATCGCTAGCTCTGACTAAACCTAAGTGATCGATGTATATATATATATATATATGTATACATACATTATATATATACATATATATGTATCTTTCGGAGATCGTAGCTGCATCGAATCGAAACGTAGATAAATTTTGGAAAAGAATAATCCAATGGAAAGAAAGGTAGATGCAGAAACGGTACGAGTGCAGATACGATCTCTCCTTTCGGTCTACGTCCTCCGATTCGTTATAATCGATCTTCCCCGACAGAGATTCCTCCCGATCGGGAGGAAGTGTCGAGAAACTTAAATGAACAAAGTGGCGAGAAAAACCTGTTTTTTTTTTTTTTGGGGGGGGGGGGGGGGGGGGAAGCAAAGTTTCGGAGATGGACACTCACTTTTTCAAAGGCACTGTTCCCTGGGGCCCCTGCCCTGCGCCGTTCCTGGCGTCGGTGACCCGGCAGGCCACCATACTATACGCTGAAAGCAGTTCTACAATGTTACAAGATTATGTTAAATGAGTAAACAGTTCAGGTTGACCAGGTTGCTTGCCCAGCTCCTGCGTTACCAGGTCGTTCTTCCCTCTCTCCTTTTCCAGCAAACGATTCCAGCCCGCCAATTTTTAATAATAATATTAATAATAATAACAATTATAATAATAATAATGATAAAAATAATAATAATAATNATATATATATATATATATATATATATATATATATATATAGGACCGAGTGACGCGTCTCCCAGCGACGCAGCCCTACCTTTCTCCTGTTTTCGTCTTTTCCGCTTATTGCAAATCTTCACCGCGCATATGCTCAGGATGATCGCGACAATGAAGAAAAGAATACCACCGACGACGCCCGCGGTGATCGCCTTGTGCTTCACCCGAGCCGGGACTGCGAATTTCACCTGATCGCTGGCACCGTAGTTGGTCGCCGAATTCGCGAACACTTGGAAATAATAGGTCCTACCGCCGACCAGATTTTTCACTGTACTCGTTGCCGTGTTCAGCGTGCCGTGAAACAGAAAAAACGGGGGAGGGGAGGAAAAAAAACTCCTCGTTTAATCATCTTTCTCCGTTCTCTCTTCGATTCTATTATACGATAAGATAAGAAAGGAAGGAAAGAGAGAGAGAGAGAGAGAGAGAGAGAGAGATAGAGAGAGAGAGAGAAAGAAAGAAAAAGAACATACCCAAATAACTGGTCTCCTCGGCTCGGATCTGTCCCTTGTTCAGCGTTTTCCACGGCCCATCCGTCTTATACTTGATGGTGTAATATTGAATCAGATGATTACGCTCCACAGGGGCCTCCCAGGTAATGAGGAAACCGTTACTGACCTCCGTCACCGTCAGATTTTTCGGAGGACCTGGCTTTGGTCCTGACGATTCAGATTCCATGATTAATAAGTGGCTGACGTAGTTGAACGAACGTGTTTGAAACGAAAGAATTTTTTTCTTTTTTTTTTTCTTTTTTTCTTAATAATCGAGAACACGTTTCCACGTTCGTGATTCTTTTCCTTTCTCGAGGACTTCCGTCGGCCATTCGTCCAACGTTATTATTATTCCTACGTGTTACTTCATTACGTTTACAGAGAGAGAGAGAGAGAGAGAGAGAGAGGGGGGAATAACGGCGAAATTGGGATTACGGCCGCTAATAAAACTAACGAATCAACGCCGGAAGTAATTAGGCCGTAACATTATGTATGTAAGTAGTGACGAAAGAAGATGAGATCACGCGTCTCCGATTCCATCGAGAGAAGTTACGTCAACATCGTTATCGCGTTTCTCTTTTCTCGTTTCGATCTCGAAAAAGAAATGGCGGAAAAAATCGAAAAAGGGAAGAGGAAGAGGCAGGGGGAAGAAAAACACGTACGCGCGTGACAAAATTTCCGACATTTGTCGATTATTTCGCGATTATTTGCAATCGTTAAACGATACGATAAATTTTCACGATTGAAAAAAAAAAAAAAAAGAAAAAAAGAAAAATACACGCGGGGGCGACCGCGTTCGTTCTGCGATCGTTTTTGCGGTATTTGCAATGCCCCCTATTTGTTAACTTCATTTCCGCGCTCGTGCATCGAATAAATTGCACCGGCCACACTACGCGTGCATTAGGAAATGCAAACACGCGTTCGAATACTCGCAGCACTTCTCCCCTTCCCTCCCCCCTTTGATCGCGCACGTATAAAAATATAAATGGATTTTCGAGCGAGGCATCGAAACGGAGACAATGTTCTTCCTCGAATCGTTATTTCGCATATCTACTATCTACTCTATCTACGATTCTTTTTTTTTCTTTTTTTTTTTTTTTTTAATTCTGACGGATATCGAATAAACCGCGTGGAAATTCGCATTGAACGAATGATAAAAAAAAAAAAATTCGAATGGAAACTCGCAGAGTTCCGGTTCGTCGAAACTTGCGTGGCTCGTCTGACCGAGTCGAGACAATCGGCTCATTCCAATACGGTACAACAACGCTAACAAACACGGAGAGAAACCGATTCACTGTGAAAAGCGAATTTCGCTATTTCCCGAGTACGTGTTTTCTCGCTAACGGGATTACGCGACTCTTTTTCATCTTTTTTTCTTTTTTTTTCTTTCGCGTATAATCGAACAACAAAAAGTCTTTTGCATACCGTGAAAAGTAAGAGTATTTCTTTTGTATTTGTTCGACTTACCGATCGAGGTGCGATGTTTGAACGCTTGGACACGAGGGAAGGAGAAACGAGGAAATAATCGATAAAAAACGAACGAAATAATATAACGTAGAAAAGAACAAAATACGATCTTATATATATGTAATAATCAATGTAATAATCAATCACTTACATAATAAACTGAAAGAAAATCATAGAATTAAAGAGTAGAGGAAGAGAGGTAAGAGTAAAAATATAAAAAGAAAAGAAAAGAAACTGATACCTTTCGGACGCATGATTGGCGGGAACACTGGATTGCCGGTGGAATCGGTCGGTAATATGAGTGTATTATGATCTAAGATGTCTGAAACGAAAGGAAAGAAAACGTAAAAGGTGAAAAATCAGAGCCGAGGACGAGACGTTGGTCGGCTAGAGTGATTGGTCGTGCCTTAATAATGAGTGGCGGAGAGCGGAGAGGAGGAAAAAGATCCTCGTGAATCCGATCCACCGGAATTCTCGTTAAGCTGGCTTTAATCGCGTTACTCGAGGCGGGCTAACGAGTTTCGAGACCGCTGATGCGTAGACAGCGACGGATAGGAGGGGGGAGACGGAAAAAGGTAGAAATTGAAGCGCGGGGAAAGAAAGTCCGCGGGATGGATGGATGGATGGATGGATGTGTATATGTACGTACCTATTTAGATTCTCGTGGCATGGGATGAAATTCGTTGGACGAAATACCGGTTATTCGCGACTTATTATTAACATCGGTCATTTCCGATCTCAACGCGACGTTATTAATATGGAAATAGTGTAAAAGCGAACGAACCCGAGTTTCACGCGGTATTACCAACGCAAAATATATCTCGATGGAACAAAAATTTCAGGACAGAGAGAAAGAGAGAGAGAGAAGAAAAGAAGGAGAGAAAAAAAGGAGGAGATTAAAGTTCTTCTCTTTTTTAGAGATAGGATAAAAATCTGTACAAGTTGGAGCGGGAAAAATCAAGGTGCACCGTGTGTACAAATGGAAACCAATGACCCGACAGATTCGAGAGAAGGAAATAAAAGCGGAAACAGAATGAACGGCTCGATGGGTTTTCCGATACGATAAGTCGCGACGGAAATCTTCTTTCCCTTCCTTCTTGCCTCTCCTTTCGACGCGGTCTTCCTTTGCCTTCCGTAACTTTTTCGCGAAATTCTCGCGCAGAATCGGTATTTTCCGACCTACGACCAACCAACCTCCGTAAAGATTGGTCGCCGAGAAGAGGTGAGAGAGGGAGGAGCAAAGGCATCTTTGCGAAACCGTTCGACCGAGGATTCTTTGTTGTTGGCTCGCCCGTTTTCAGAGAGAGCGAGAGACAAAGAGAGAAAGAAAGAAAGAAGGGAGAGGAGTTGGAATCGGACGATTTTATACTCGATCGCGTTCAAATACAACGCGGACTCTCGTTTGAACGCTATCTGTTCTCGCGGATATCGATTAAATTATTATAGAACACGCGTGGTCCGTTACGATTTGAAACGAGAGGGGTATAATCTTACCGCTTTCATCCGTGGCTGCAGCTTGGCCGGCGCTCGAGGATGGAGTCGCTGAATGCGTCAGTGCCACGTCTTCGTGGGTGAAGCGATTGAAAAGAGAAGGAAACGTTTTGCACAGGATACGATTTGTTAGTAGTCGGTTAACGGTCGGGCAAAGGTCGTTAGTCGCAACGATTGCAGCGAAACGGAGGATTCCGGAACGTAACTAACGAAATTGCAACGGAGCACGGCACGTTTTACGCGAAAGTTGAAAGGTCGTTTACCAAGAGTCCTGATGGTGATGAGTTTGCTCAACATTCCATCGCCCAGAGCGTTCTTCCCTATCACTTGGAACTCGTACAGCGTTCCTGGTGTCAGACTGTTGATCGTCACCGTTGTGCTTCCCGACGGAGTTACCGGAATCATCTTCCATTCCGACGTACCCGATTCTCTGTACCTGCGTAAAATGAAAATATATATAGTCAGAAAATAGAATCGGTTGATGCTTTAAAGAATTTTTTAATAAGGTTAGCTGCGCAACGTTTACGAGTTTTCTCCCAAATATCGTGGTTTACATTACGCTCAAAGTTATAACGAAGAATACTATTCGATTAGAAACATCGTTTCACATCTATAGTTCATTGGTGGAACGAAGTCTCGTGGAAGAAACGCAGCGTCTGATTGGTTAATTTGGAAACGCCTATTTTCACATATATTTACCACTACCATGGTATTTGTCACATATACGATGATCTCTATCTCTAAACCTCGATGCCTAAGCTAATTATGATTTGTAACAATAATTTATAAATGTAACAATAATTTTGTATTCGAGCAGTTAAGATAATAATTATACGTATACGAATAAGTTAAACATACTAGTTAGCTTCAAAAATATTTCAGCTTCCAGTCTTGGATGATTATCCTAACGTAACTTCATAAATAAAAATAATTTTTACGATTTTGAATATTCGTATTATAGCTCTTCCACTGCTATGTAGCGTGTGGTGTCAGGATCGTCAACAAAGCGTCGGAAGTGGGGATAGGCGGTCCTAGCGAAGGACCCCTCTTGCCCCTGTGCCGTCCCGCGAGACTTTTTTTTCTAGTAGTGAACAGTAGAAACTTGAAACTCGATACATTCCACTCGACGAAACTACGAGGAGATCAGCAGGCTCACTCACCAGATGGTATAGTCTTGTTTATAATCAGGCCCTCCAGAGTATCCCGGCAGCCAAGTCAACGTGACCGAAAACTCGGTCGCGGTACCGGTTACGTTGTACGGAGCGTGGGGTTGCGTGCCTTCGACGATCAATTGTGTGGAGGCCGATATGGTGGCAACCTCGTTGGACGCCACGCATTGGTAGAAGCCGAAATCCGAGCGGCGAAGGCTTTCGATCGTTAAATTCCCGCCGACGGTCTTGGCCCGATTTCGTTGGATGGACGCGCCATCCCTCTGCGCAATTAAATAACGCGATACCAAGCGACTTAAGAGGCGGAGATACCGAATTAAAAATTGTAAAAAAAAGAAAATCGGAATCGAATCGAAGTTTTTCTCGAGTTTCTCGGGAGAGAGAAAGACGGGAACGGTCGAAAGGAGGGAAAAAGATTCGTCTTTCACCATACCCTGTGCCACTGTATCGTGGGTTTCTGCGTGCCTTCCGCTTCTTGAGCGTCGCAGTGCATCTCCACCGTTTCGCCCACTTTTTTCTGATAGATCGGCTCCGGCTCGAGAGTGAACACAGGCGGATTTCGTACAAGCACCTCCATCGGTCCGGAACTTCCTTGCGTGCCGTGCGCGTTATAAGGCGTGCAGGTATACCGGCCCTGATGATTCTCATTGACTCGTGTAAAAAGCAGGGAGCCATTGTTCATCACAACGATATCCTTCGTTTGATAAGGTTCGAGCAATCGTTTGTCCTTCGTCCACGTCACGTATTGAAGGGTGGGATTCGCTTTTATGTAACAATGTACCACACCAGCCAACCGAAACGGTAGATATTGCACCGTGGGAGTGAACGTCACTTTTGCCGGATCTGCAAATTCAACCAATTATTATTATTATTATCATTATATTTTATTTTCTTTCTCGTCATTACGCTATATTTGCTACATATACATTAAATACAACTCACATTCCACGTTTAAATAAGCGTTAGCGCTTTGCGGATCACCGATGCCGTTCGTCACTTCGCAAAGATATTGGCCAGAATCGTCAGCGCTCACGGGATTGATCACCAGGCTACCGTCCGATTTGATCGTCACTCTCGTGTCCAGCTCCGAGAGTTCCGTAACCGGTGAACCCTCGCGGAACCAACGTACGGTCACGTTACCGGGAAGAGCTTTAGCCTCGCAGTTAAATTGCACCTTTTCCCCTTCCAATTTGGTTTGGTTCATCGGCGGCACGGTGATCACTGCTCCACCTGTAACGACGATACAAGGGATAATGGCCG